ATACACTGTTGCTGTGTTAGCTGTTACTGTTACTCTGTGATACACTGTTGCTGTGTTAGCTGTTACTGTTACTCTGTGATACACTGTTGCTGTGTTAGCTGTTACTGTTACTCTGTGATACACTGTTGCTGTGTTAGCTGTTACTGTTACTCTGTGATACACTGTTGCTGTGTTAGCTGTTACTGTTACTCTGTGATACACTGTTGCTGTGTTAGCTGTTACTGTTACTCTGTGATACACTGTTGCTGTGTTAGCTTTTACTGTTACTGTTACTCTGTGATACACTGTTGCTGTGTTAGCTGTTACTGTTACTCTGTGATACACTGTTGCTGTGTTAGCTGTTACTGTTACTGTTACTCTGTGATACACTGTTGCTGTTAGCTGTTACTGTTACTCTGTGATACACTGTTGCTGTGTTAGCTGTTACTGTTACTCTGTGATACACTGTTGCTGTGTTAGCTGTTACTGTTACTGTTACTCTGTGATACACTGTTGCTGTTAGCTGTTACTGTTACTCTGTGATACACTGTTGCTGTGTTAGCTGTTACTGTTACTCTGTGATACACTGTTGCTGTGTTAGCTGTTACTGTTACTGTTACTCTGTGATACACTGTTGCTGTGTTACGCCATGTGGCTGTGTTATGCCCTTCGTGCTGTGCTGCGCTGCACTGCCGCTGCATGGTGCCACACAGTTACACTGTACTGGCACAGCCTATAACACAGGGACACAGCCGTTTAACATATACCTCAAATACCTGCGGTATCTGCACATGTGCCTTTAATACAGAAATAACAACATAATGATGGGAACCTGTTACACACCATGCATTTAATCCTGCCTCTCTGCTAACCAATGCTTGTGGAAATGGTACCAGTTACTTGAGCTTCAATGTCTGTGGAAAAGGTTCCAGTTACTTGAACTTCAATGTCTCATCTATGAAGATACAGAACTAACAGATGAAAGGGGTCGTCCACAGTGCTTCCCACGGCACTGCTCCGGTTCCCATATGCAGACAGAGCCCTCCTGGAGCCCTGTGCTCAAAGAGCAGTCGGCTGAGCGAACGCAGGAGAAAGCCAACCAGCGTGGTGTCACAGAGCCCACAAACCACGCGTCTGAGAGAGAGGACGTCAGACACACCTGCAGGGTGCAAGGACTTCTCTGCAGCAATGAAACATTGGCGTCACGACGCGAGTGGTGGCTTCACAATGCTTACGTTTGTCAAAACTCACCAAACTTGTACGCTCAAAACTGGTGACTTTTGTTGCATGTGCGTTATACCACGATGAGTGATTTCTGAAGCACATATTTGTCAGGAAGGACAAGGGCAGGGCTGAATAGGTGCAGGGGCACTGAGGGGCATGACAAGTGAAGGCAACACAGGACCTAACTGGATTCTGAAGACCTCCCCAAAACCCATGGAGAGTGTTTGGGACAGACATGAAAACTGGAATATGGACGACATAGTAAACTGTGCTGTATCATGGTGTTAAGCTTTTTAAAGTGTGGCCATGTAACTGTGAGCATGCGAGAGAATATCTCATTGTTAGGAGACGCACATTCTCACATTTAGAAGGTCAAGCGTCAGAATGTCTGCAACTTACTCTCAAGTGGTTCAAGAAATACGTGAGTGTAGACAGATAAACAGATAAAGATTTAGAAAATGCTAATGGTGAAATGCAGGCACTTGCTGTACTTGTCTTTCAATGGTTCAGTTGATTTGAAATCCTTAAAAATAAAAACTGCAGGACCAAATAGTGGACCATGTCAACCTGTTGAGAGGTCAGGTAAAGGGGACAGAGACATGGCCCTTTTGGAAGAACATTTCGCAGAATGAGGGGTAAACGCCAGAGAGGAGTGGGCGGGACAGCAGAAGGGGAGCAAATGGGGGTGATGCAGCCAGTGGCTCCTCCAAGGTTCCACTGGGAAGTGCAGAGGAGTCAGAGTCCCCACAGCAGGTAACAGCAAGGCCGTGCTCACGGGTGGTCCGGCAGAGAAGGAACCACTCTGAGGACAGACGGCAGGAGCAGAGACTTTGAACCTGAGAGGGGCTGGGATGCTGCGTCCACAGGAAGGAGCCTCATCAGAGGACAGTGATCATGGTGGCAATGACAACAGTGACTAAGGTGCCACAGCCTCTAACCTGGAACAGCTGGCACTGCCGAAAGCACCTTCCCTCATTTAGCTCTCACAGCAACTCCAAGACCAGGGATACACCCTAACAAGCGGCCCAAGCCAAGACTGAGAAACCCGGGGCAGAGACTTCCCTTGCCCTGGAAGGAAGGCTGTGGGTGCAAATGAGGTCACGGGGGGGGGTGGGGG